CCCCCCAGTGGTCTACGCCTCTAAACCTAGGAAGCTGAGATCTGAGCATTGTGGTTTGAAGCCAGCCCTGGCAGGAAAGCCTATGAAATTCTTACCTCCAATTAATTGCCAAAAAGCCAGAAGTAGAGTTATGGCTCAAGTGGTAGAGCATGTGCTGCCTTGAGCAGAAAACCTCAAGGACAGTGCCTAGGCCCTGAGTTCAAGACCAGGGCCTGCATAAAAGAAAAAGAGAAGCGAACCTCCAGGGATGAGTCACTGACCAGAGATGGGAGCTTTGTACTCCTTGGAAGGGAAGGAGGCTGTAGGTTTCTACTTGAGTCTCCCTATCCACTGTGTTCAGAGCAGTATTGCAGAGCTAGTGCAAAGCAGCACCACAGGAGCAGCTGGACACAGCTCACCCAGATGCCCAGACAGCCTTCCTAGACTTTGCAAAAGGCTTACCAATACTTGTGAAAATCTGTTTTTGTAAAGTTGACTAAGCAACTTCTGCAGACTTAAGAAACTGTGTCTGAGACACTGCTCAGCCTTCTCCCTGGGGGATCTCGATAGCCTTATGATCTCCCAGGGGAGACTCAGCATCTCGAGGAGAAGGCAGACCAGGTGGTGGCCTTCTATTCTAGCTTTTTCCCTTCTAGGTCATGTGTCTGTGAATCACTTAAAAATGTCTTTATTTGCTTCATCCCAGGCCCCAGTTTGGGAATTACTTTGATCTTAGGTGGGCTTGGACCCCACTCTCCCCTGCTCTCCCCTACCTGTACTCCACGGCCCCAGTGGAGGGAAGGCACACGTAGCTGGGAGCCTGATCTAGAGGAAATCTTGGTCTGCAGCCTGTTGGTGGTCTCTCTCTGGAGGATCAGACACTAGGGGGGCTATTGGAAGTCCTTCTCCTCTATGTGTTTGTTTATTCCTCTCCTTTGCTGCTTTCTAGGAGTTTGCAGCACTCACGAAAGAACTGAATGTGTGCAGGGAGCAGCTCCTCGAGAGGGAAGAGGAAATTGCAGAGCTGAAAGCAGAAAGGAACAACACCAGGGTTAGTAATGGTTCTGGGTCTTGTCTGCCTCTGCAGTCAGCGTGGGGACCAGTCCTGCTGTCCGAGAAGGGGACAGACAACCTTTCCTGCCTGGGTCACAGTGTAGACTGCTCTGTCAGCGCGGTGTTAGACAAGGCATGAGGCTGGGGATGAACAGGACTCTGAGAGCTGAAGGAGTGTCTCTACCTTTCTGCTGGGCTCACGGGATTCAGACTTGGGTGTGTGGTTGAGAGTAGACATGATTGAAAATTGCTCCTTGTACCTTTCTTCCATCCCTCTGTTTCAGCTGCTGCTGGAGCATTTGGAGTGCCTTGTGTCCAGGCACGAGCGCTCTCTTAGGATGACAGTGGTGAAGAGACAGGCACAGTCCCCTGCCGGTGTGTCTAGTGAGGTGGAGGTGCTCAAAGCTCTGAAGTCCCTGTTTGAGCACCACAAAGCCCTGGACGAGAAGGTATTGCCAAGCTCTGACACTGCGGGGCGCCAACATGCTGTGGCCATTGACACTAGAGGGCACCAGTGCTGTGGGCACCAGTACTGTGGGCACGGACATGCTGTGGGCCCCTAGCACTGTGGTCACCAGTGCCCGTGGGGCACTGATACGGTGGGTATGGGCATTGTGGGGTACCGACACTATAGCTCCTTGAATGCTTACAAAGGCATCTCTTGTAGAAGACAGTATACTACACGGTTAACAAGTACCAGCTGGTATATGCATCTTAACATTGATGAATTCTCTGCATTGATTTGCTGTGAAGATCTTGGTAATCTATTCAGGGGCAAAATTTCCCCAAATTTAAACCTGTCACCTGAGTTTTGGGGAGCCTGAGACAGGAGAATCATGAGTTCCAGGCCAGCCTGGTCTGCCTAGTAAGCCCTGGTCTCAGAAAACAAAAACAAAACTAAATGCATTAGTAAGTTTCTGGGCAGTAAATGTCAATGAAAGACACTGCAGTTCCTCTTACGTTTCACTAACACCATGTTAGATAACTGTACATAGATGTGCCTGTGAAATAAATGCACTCACAGTGACCCTTTTATTTCCAGGTGCGAGAGCGGCTCCGAGTAGCCCTGGAGAGGTGCAGCTTGTTAGAAGAAGAACTGGGTGCTACACACAAAGAGGTGAGCTGGAGGCACTGTCAGAGGTTAATAGAATTACTACCCCTAAGTTTACAGAGTAATAGATGTCAGAGGTGTTTTTCTAGTTGTGGACCAGTCTGCTGGGGTTGCTAGACTTTGATGTCAGCATTCAGGATCATTTGTCTAGTAGGTATGAATTCTAGTAACCTGTGTGTTCAGTAGGAGAGCTTTACCTTATGCTTTTTTTTCTTCATTTAGCAGTGTATAGTCTTGTTTTTCCCAAAGGCATTTAAGGTGTTTTATCCTCCTCATATTCATTTCTGTTTTAGCTAATGATTCTTAAAGAACAGAATAATCAGAAAAAAACACTAACAGATGGGGTGCTTGACATCAACCATGAGCAGGAAAACACACCAAGCACGAATGGAAAGGCAAGTCACTGGGCTTTCTCTAGTTTTCCTTTCTGGTATCTTTAGTCCCTGGCACCTAGATAAAGCTGTTGAGCAGCTATGCTGAAAATACAGCACCTGCATGTACCTAGCATGCCTGCGTGCAGACTATAGAAATCTTGTTTTGGTGGACCTGGTTTGCTGGAAATGTTTTATTCTAGAGCGTACCAAACATGGCTGTCTGTATAAGGGTCCACATTTTTTCCATCAGAGATCTTCAGATGGCTCCCTCAGCCACGAGGAAGACCTTGCTAAGGTAATGGAGCTCCAGGAAGTCATAGACAAACAGTCAAGAGAACAGACCCAGATGAAGGAGCGTCTGGCTGCCCTCTCCAGTCATGTAGCAGAGCTGGAAGAAGATCTGGACACAGCCAGAAAGGATCTCATCAAGTCTGAAGAAATGAACACAAAGTTGCAGCGAGATGTCCGAGAAGTAAGTGATGGCAGAGATTGCAGTGTGTGCTCAAGTCCTCTCCAGTGCTGCTTTTCTCTGTGCCCTCCCAGCTTCTTCCAGCCTTGGGTTACTGTAGGAGTGATGGTGAGGAGGAGCAGTATGATGAGATGGACGGGCTGCTCATGCCGTGGTGGGCAGATGTTTAGGGCGCGCCTTCTCAGGTTCCCTCCTGTGCTGCCCCAGACTGTGAGCTGTGCGTGTGTTCTTTGTCTTGTTAGGTTTCTTTCTGTCATCCAGATAGCAGGTGAACTTGGTATCGGCCGTCCTGTTGAGATGGTTGAGGTGGTCTGTGACAGGCCAGCTCCTGTTTTTTGATGTACCTCTCTCATGGATGGTATGGGGTTGGATATCAGAGGTCAGGCCAGCAGTGAGTGTGAACCTCACTCACACCTGGGTCCACTGGACCGTGTTGTAAGAATATATTTGGATGTATTCTGACCGCCTTTCTGCCTGGGTCACAGTTACAAAATAAACATGTATGGGAGACTGTCTGGTACTTGTCCATGGGATCTCCCTGCCATTGAGCATGTGTGGAGAGCAGGGAAGCTTAGCATGAGCACCTTTATGTAAGAATTCGACCAAAGGAAAATGTTCACATATATTACAGAGCCTATTAAGTTTTATTATTTTTTTTGCCTATATTAGATAATTTGTGTCCTGGTTTCAGTAGTAGATAGTGCATAATATTAATTTTGTTACAAACTTTAGTGGTGTCTTATTAAACTTTGACTTCTGTTTCCACTTGTCAGTGTGTTTGAACGTCACAATTGTATGAGACTTTTATCCAACTTTTAGTGTGCAAAATTGAGACCTGCATCTTGCTGCTATATCCAGTAAGAAGCCCTTCTGTAGCTGGGTCAGACATAGGGCACTCCTTGCTTGGGACACCGTGGGGACACCTTCATCTGCTTGGGTTCTTAGAGTGTTTGGGGTGGCTTACTATACAAATTTTAAAATATACTTGATGACTCACTTCAAGCTTTTTTTTTTTTTAAGTTTTTTTTTTCGGGGGGGGGGGTGGTCAGGTCATGGGGCCTGAACTCTGGGCCTGGGCGCTGTCCCTCAGCTCTTCAGCTCAACGATAGCGCACTACCACTTGAGCCACAGCACCACTTCCAGCTTTTTTCTTTTTGGTTATGTGGTGCTGAGGAATTGAACCCAGGGCCTCAGGCAAGCGCTCTATCACTGAGCCAACTTCCCAGCCCCTTCAAGCTTATTTTTATATGTACTTTTTACACATTTCATATGTAGAAAAGAATAAAATTGGTGACATGAGCCATCAAGTATGTTAAGCCAGATGAACCTGTGCTCGTCATACCTCACAGCTGGATGTGTATGATGTCTGAGGCAGGTCAATTTCAGAAAACTGACACGTATCAGTTTAGTTTGGGGGACTGTGATTTTAGTTTCGTCCAGTTTTCTCTCTGGAGTATTTGAATGTGTTAAGTATTGTCACCTGCCTTTTTCCTCTGAACTATAGGCGATGGCCCAGAAGGAAGACATGGAGGAGAGGATCACCACCCTTGAGAAGCGTTACCTTGCTGCACAGCGCGAGGCCACTTCAGTACATGACCTCAATGACAAACTGGAAAACGAGATTGCAAATAAGGATTCTATGCACCGGCAGGTAATGAACTTTATGGGCCTGTTTCTGGCTTCAGTTAATTATTAATGAAGTTAAAGATCTTTCTTCTTCTTTTTTTTTCCCCCTGTAAGTTGCATGTGGCAAATCAAGTCTAAATAGCAGTTTTTATGATCCTAGAATATTACCTTGAAGAGGGTGGTTACTTCAGCTTAGAAGCTGTGGTTATTTAAAGCTTAATCCATGTATAGCACTCTGGGTTCAATCTCCAGCACTGGAAAACCAAAGGTGCCATCATCAGATAGAGGTTCACACCTTTTTTTTTTTTTTTTAAATTATGTCTATATTTAAAGTTTTAATCATTTGTACTAAATGAGCAGAGACAGAATTTCAAGGTAGGTGCTTGTTGGTAACTAGGAACAATATGAGAATGGCAAGTTAAAAAGAAATCAGGCCGGGCACCAGTGGCTCACACCTGTAATCAATCCTAGATACTCAGGAGGCTGAGATCTGAGGATCATGGCTCAAAGCCAGCCCGGGCAGGAAAGTCTGTGAGACTCTTTTTTTTTTTTGGTCGGTCGTGGGGCTTGAACTCTGGGCCTGGGCGCTGTCCCTCAGCTCTTCAGCTCAAGGCGAGCGCTCTACCATTTGAGCTACAGCGCCACTTCTGGTTTTCTGGTGGTTTATTGGAGATAGGAGTCTCACGGTCTTTCCTGCCCGGCTGGCTTTGAACCGCGATCCTCAGATCTCAGCCTCCTGAGTAGCTAGGATTACAGGCGTGAGCCACCAGCGCCCGGCAAGTCTGTGAGACTCTTATCTCCAATGAACCACCAGAAAACCAGAAGTGGTGCTGTGGCTCAAGTGATAGAGCACTAACCTTGAGCTGAAGAGCACAGGGACAGTGTACAGGCCCAGAGTTCAAGCCCTACAACATACAAAACAACAACAACAACAAAAAGCAGTAGTAAAATTAGCATCTCTGTACTCTTGACAAACCACACTCACTCCCACTTCTGTGTAATCTTAGATATCTGAGAATGAACCAGAAAAAACCTGAGTCAGGCACACACTTATAGCCTCAGCACTCAGAGGCTGAAGCAGGAAGATCGGAAGTTTGAGGCCAGTTTATGCTAAATCCTGTGACACCCTGCCTCAAACAAAGTAACAGTAGCTGGAATAGTTTGTCATTGAGCAAACTCTTGGAAGATGGGGAGCTCTCTGTGCTCCGACCGGGGTGTCACTTCCTCAACTCTGGAGGCCTGTGATTAAAGGCCATGGCCACTACACCACTAGTGCTCAGGGGTTTTTGGTTTTTGTTTTATTGGTTGTGGGACTTGAATTCTGGGCTTGGGCACTGTCCCTCAGCTCTTCAGCTTAAGGTGAGCATTTTACCACTTGAGCCACAGCAACACTTCCGGTTTTTTGGTGGTTTATTGGAGATAAGAGCCTCATGGCAGCTGGGCCCCGGTGGTTCACGCTTGTAATCCTAGCTACTCAGGAGGCTGAGAATTGAGGATCACAGTTCACAGCCAGTCCAGGCAGGAAACCAGAAGTGGTGCTGTGGTTTAAGAGGTAGAGTACTTGCTTGCCTTGAGCTGAAGAGCTGAGGGATAGCACCCAAGCCCAGAGTTCAAGCCCCACAACTGACAAAAAAAAAAAAAGAAAAAGTCTCACAGCCTTTCCTGCCCGGGCTGGCTTTGAACTGCGATCCTTTGATCTCAGCCTCCTGAGTAGCTAGGATGACAGGCGTGAGCCACCAGCGCCCGACTTTTTTGTTTTTGCCAAGGAATAGTAGCAAGTATTCTTACCCTAAGTTGTCTATAAGAATGAACAAGCTTAGCCTGGTGTCTGTGTCTCATGCCTGTAATCCTAGTTACTCAGGAGGCTGGTATGTAAGGACTGAGATTTGAAGCCAGCCTGGGCAGGAAAGTCCGTGAGACTCTTTATCTCCAATTAAACACCAAAAAGCTGGAAATGAAACTGTGTCTCAACTGGTAGAATGCTATCCTTGAGTGAAAAAGCTCAGGGACAGCACCCAGGCCCTCAGTTCAAGTCCCAGGACCTGCACTCAAAATAAATAGGGGCTGGGAAGGTGGCTCAGGGGTCAAGTGCTTACCTTGCATGCATGAGGCCCTGGATTCGATTCCTCAGCACCACATAAGGAGAAAAAGCCAGAAGTGGCGCTGTGGTTCAAGTGGTAGGGCCCTAGACTTGAGCTGAAGAGCTGAGGGGCAGCGCACAGGCCCAGAGTTCAGTCGCCACAACCGACCAAAAAACAAAACAAAAATAAAGAAGGCTTCTTTGAAGATATTAGAAGAAGCAAATGCTTTGTGAAAGATGTCTGCTCATCAAATTCAGGCCCAAAAAGGTAGATGAGGAAAGCCTGGTTCTGAAGCTGCTGCCCCCGAGGCAAGCTGCCTCCGTACTATACTGCCGTCAGCTTGTGAGCGGAGGCTCCGATGGTTTCTGCTGTCACTGAAGGAGCTGGGGCGCTGCACTCTCTCATTCAGCTCTCCTTCTGTAGACAGAAGACAAAAACCGTCAGTTACAGGAACGCCTGGAGCTGGCGGAGCAGAAGCTGCAGCAGACGCTGCGGAAAGCTGAGACCTTGCCGGAAGTGGAGGCTGAGCTGGCCCAGAGGGTGGCTGCGCTCTCCAAGGTGCGTCTGGGCTGGTACAGGTCAAGCGCCAGAACTTGGTTTCTCTAGTCAGTGTCCCTGGACCTGTGGAGGGGCTCTGACTGTTTGTCAGTGCTAGTGTGAGGTGAGACCGCTTCTCACTGGTCAGACAGTGTCCTCCCTTGTCCTCCCTGGCCCACCCTCCTGCCTCTCAGGAATGTGTTGTTTGTCTACAGTGTTGTGACACTGTGTTGTGGTTCTAGTCACAGCTCAAAGCACAGACTGGAAGCTGTGTGGGACAGGATAATAGAGTTGTCAGGAATGGAAAGTGATGTTGGGCACGGGTGGCTTGTGCCCATAATCCTAGCTAGTCAGGAGGCTGATGTCTGAGAGTCACAGTTTGGAGCCAGGGCAGACAAAAATTCCAGCCAGCCAGCCAAAGGCCAGAAATGAAGCTATGGCTCAAGTAGTAAAGTGCCAGCCACTAGTGAAAAAGGCCAGTGAGAGTACAGAAAGAAAAGAGAAATGAGAAAAAGCAGAGGAAAATGCTATTCTCTTTTAAAGACAGTTGAATACACTTAGAGTACATTTTTAAGTAATGTTTTGTTTTGAAGTTACTTACAAATGTGTTTTTTGAGATGGTATCTGGTTAAAACGCCTAGGTTGGCTCCAAGCTCCTGGGCTCAAGCAGTTCTTCTGCCTTTGCCTCCTGTGTAGCTCGACTATGGGTGCACTCTGTCATTTCTGGTTTAAAAAATAGATGGGTTTAAAGCAATCTTTATTTGTTCAACCAGTGCTAGCAAGGCATGTACAGGACAGTTCCTGCCGTCCGTGGAGAGGGAAGCAGATAAAGATGTCGCTCCAGGGGGAGGGGGAGGGGGAGGACATGGGACTCAGCTCAGGCGGTCCACACAGGGGCCAAAAGAGGCTTAGCAAGAAGCATCGCCAGGCCCAAAAGCAGCATGAGCACACGCCATATTGGTGCCTGGCAGGAGTCCTGTTGGCACTAGCTTGGACTTAGCTGCTGTGAAGGGGCAGGGAGAGGAGAGTGTACCTGCAGGGAAGGGAACCCTGGGGCCAGTTGGTGGTCCCTAGCACCCACAGGCTCGCCCCCTCCCGCCCCCCTCCCGCCCCAGTCCAGTGCACTGCTCTCAGCCATAGCAGAACCCTGCCTCCCCTCAGTGAACTATTTTAAAATCTTCGTTTCTTTTCTCCCTACTGTCTTTCCTGTCCTTGTTGGCTTTGTAGTCTGACCCTTTGTCTTCTGGGAGCTCTGCCGCTAAGGAAGCTAAACTGTTGGAACTTACTTCCAAGCTTAGGAAGGTAGAATGTGTACCTTGCTCCTTTCTTGTGCTTGCTGCTTTCTGCTTTCCATGCTGACTCATAGAAGCAGTCTGAGGATGGGGAGACCTGAGTCCACGAAGGCCCGCCGGGGTGGGGGGGGGACACACAGGCTTGCCGGCACCTGCACGCTGAGAGGTCGGCTGGTTCACTGAGCAGCACACAGGACCACAGAGGATGTGATGGACGAGTACAAGCTGTCCCTGCCATCCGGTTGAAGTCCACGCACAGCATGTGATGCTTGCTGCTGCTGCGGTAGCATAGAGCATGTCATCGGTGAAGTGTGAGTAGGTCAGCTCACCATGTCTTTGCTGGCAGGCTGAGGAGAGACACGGCAACATTGAGGAGAGGCTACGGCAGATGGAGGCACAGCTGGAGGAGAAGAATCAAGAGCTACAGCGGGTATGTATAGAACTGGACGTGCTGAGCAGACACTGAACCTAGGGCTGAGGTATGACCCAAGCCGAGCTATTGGACCTCCTTCCTACTGGTTCTCTTCTGTGGCCTCCCACTTCAACCCAGACTTTGCTTCCTGTCATGGGCTATTGTTTGTGGCCTCATTTCTACTGCCCTGATGTGCACACTCTGAGATTAAGGATAAGTTGCAGCAGAAGAGATGTGTCATTGACAATGCTATGGAATGAGCAGGACCACCAAGCCCAGGAAGGTTTCTTGCTCATCTAGTGATCAGGACTGCTTCAGGTAAAATGATCCTACAGACTCCCCAGTATGGTGCCCATAAGGACACCCTGCAGAAGCCTAGAGCAAGGCTCATGACCCATGTATGCTTGCTCAGCATGGGACACTGTAGTCAAAGCCTCGGGCCAGAGGCCTGGCTTCTGTCCCCAGATCCAGAGTTGTTGGGAGGTGTCAGAATGAGTATTTTGGAGCCAAAGGAGCACCAAGATGGAGCTGCAGTGAGAGGAGCATTAGGAAACGCGGTGGTGGAGGGTTGGGTCAATTCCAAGTTTCCCTTGCCAGAAATGAGCCACTGTGCATGTGGAGCAGCAGGAAGCTGCCAGGTCCCGTGTCTAGGGTGGGGTCTTTTAACAAGAGGACGGGGAAGGAAGCATTTATATCTGATGTAGAGCCCCATGCCTCCACATCAGCCAACTTTTTCACATCAGCTTGAAGACAGCTAGATCATGTTTTTACATGAGGCCTGTATTTTGTTGTCGTTGTTACTGATTGTGGGACTTGAACTCTGGGCCTGGTTGCTGTCCCTGAGCTCTTCAGCTCAAGGGTAGCACTCTACCACTTGAGTCACAGTACCACTTCTGGCTTTCTGGTGGTTAATTGGAGACAAGAGTCTCACGGACTTTCCTGCCTGGGCTGGCTTTGAATCACGATCCTCAGATCTCAGCCTCCTGAGTAGCTAGGCTTACAGGCATAAGCCACCAATGCCCAGCTTATTTTCTCTCTCTCTCTCTCTTTTTTAAAATTGACCATTGTATGAAGCTTTACCTGAGTTTTTGAGAGAAAAGCAACTTTAAAAAGTTTTTTTAATTGTTACTATAAAGGTGATGTACCGGGGGTTACAGTTGTGTAAGTCAGGTGAAGAGTACAGTTCTTTTTGGACAATGTCACGTCTTCCCTTGCTCTTTCAATTTTTCCCTCCCATACCCACTCATAAGTAGATGCCTGTATTTTTGGCCATGTACTGCAGAGAATCAGACTAGCTTCCTGGAAATGATCACTATGAAGCTCAGTTCTTCCCCTCCTCCCCCTACCTCTACACACTCTTACCCTGTAAACAGAGAACAGCATGTTATGTATTGTCAGAGCCAGTTCATGGAGTATTGTGTTGTGGAGGTATATAACTGGATATTAAGCTATTCTGCTATAAAAGTGAATTGCTGGCAAAAGAAGCAGACACTTCTAAAGAAAGAACATTGGAGCCGGGCGCTAGTGGCTCACACCTGTCATCCTAGCTACTCAGGAGGCTGAGATCTGAGGATTGCGGTTCAAAGCCAGCCTGGGCAGGAAGGTCTGTGAGACTCTTTATCTCCAACTAAACCGCCAGAAAACCAGAAGTGGCACTGTGGCTCAGGTGATACGGTGCTAACCTTGAGCTGAAGAGTGCAGCAACAACACCCAAGCCCAGAATTCAAGCCCCATGACCGACCAAAAAAAAGAAAGGAAGAACATGGGATCCTCCGTGTACTGTGAGGTCTGTGGCTGTGTGGCTTTTTGGATGATGACAGAGAGCCAGAGAGCACCGCCACTGTGATCTGGTCATAGGCTTGGATATTGTCTCTTGGTGCCTGTTGCCTTCTACTCTCAGGGGTTCTTTCGGGGGTAAAACCAAGGCCTTTAAGTGTTGATGTTGATTACAGTTCAGTAAAACATGGGTCTGAAACTTTGTTAGCACATTTCAAAGTCATTTAGGTCTTTATCTACAATTCTCAGGTACGTTATGAGAAGTTGAGTCAGTATAGGGATATAAAGAAAAAGTCTCAAGCCAGGCACTAGTGCCTTACATTTGTTTTGTTTTTGCCAGTGATGGGGTTTGAACTCATGGCCTAGGCACACTGTACCTGAGCTTGTTTTGCTCAAGGCTAGCACTCTACCACGTGAGCCACATGCTACTTCTGGTTTTTTCTGTTTATGTTGTACTGAGGAGTTGAACCCAGGGCTTCATGCATGATAGGCAAGCGCTCTACCACTAAGCCACCTTCCTAGCCCATGAGTTACCTTTGTAATCCTAGTTACTCAGGAGGCTGAGATCTGAAGATTGAATTCTGGGAGACACTTATCTCCAATTAACCAGCAAAAAGCCAGAAGTAGCACTGTGGCTCAAGTGGTAGAGTACTAGCTTTGAGCAAAAGAAGTTTAGGGACAGTGCCCAGACCCTGAGTTCAAGTCCCAGGACTGGCATAACAAAACATCTCCTGCTTTGTAAGTCAGTGTGTGTGTGTGTGTGTCTGTGTGTCTGTGTGTCTGTGTGTGTTGGCTCAAGGCTAGTATTCTATCACTTGAGCTATACCTCCACTGTAGACTTTTTGGTGGCTAAGTGGAGATGAGAGTCTCAGTCTAACAGACTTTCCTGCCTTGGCTGGCTTTTTTTTTTTTTTTTTTTTTGTCGGTCGTGAGACTTGAACTCTGGGCCTGGGCGCTGTCCCTCAGCTCTTCAGCTCAAGGCGAGCGCTCTACCACTTGAGCTACAGCGCCACTTCTGGTTTTCTGGTGGTTTATTAGAGATAGGAGTCTCACAGTCTCTCCTGCCCAGGCTGGCTTTGAATCGCGATCCTCAGATCTCAGCCTCTGAGTAGCTAGGATTACAGGCGTGAGCCACCAGCGCCTGGCCCTTGGCTGGCTTTAAACTGTAATCCTCACATCTCAGTTTTCTGAGTAGCTAGGATTATAGGTGTGAACCACTGACACTGGCTGTCGAGCTTTTTTTGTGTTCAAGGCTGGCGGTTCTACCCCTTGAGCCACAGTCCCACTAATGGCTTTTTGGTGGTTAATTGGAGGTAAGAGTCTTCACAGCCTTTCTTGCTTGGGCCAGCTTCAAACCACATTTAGGATTATAGATGCAAGCCATCTGGTAATTCAATGCATCTTTTTTTTTTGTGTGTGAAAATACTGTACAGAGGGGTTACAATTACATGGGCAAGATAATGAGTACATTTCTTATCAAGCATTGTAGCCTCCTCCTTTGTTTCCCCTCCCACCCTCTCCCATCCTCCCCCCGCCCCCTTCAGTGCATCTTTGTCTTTTATCTTTTTTTTTTTTTTTTTGATCCTGAGGCTTGAACTCAGGACCTGGGCTCTGTCTTTGAGCTTTGGTGTCCCAGGCTAGTGCACTACCACTTGAGCCACAGCTCCACTTCTGACTTTTTGGTTGTTAATTGGAGGTGAGAGTCTCACAGACTTTTCTGCTAAGGCTGGCTTTGAACCTCAATCCTCAGATCTCAGCCTCCTAAGTAGCTAGGAGTACAGCCATGAGCCATGTGAAGCTGGCCTAACGCATCTTTTGTCTCAGATGCATTTATACAAGGGTAATCTCTCTGCCAGCATGTAGATATCAACTCGATACTGATGAATCTATCTTCTACATCCATTTGACAGCTGGTGGCTAGACCATTTCTCAAGCCCCTTAATGCTAGCATTTCTAGAAGATCCCCTTTTAAGTAGTGGCGTTCTAAGACTGACTTGCCTGCATTTGGACTAGGAATGGCAGTGGGAAGGAGCAGACCGGGCGCAGTGGCACATGTGTGGCTCAGTGCTGGGTCCTGTTGCTCTTAATGGAATGACTGTATATCTGCTTCAAGTCTGAAGTCTCTGCTTCTCTTATTTTAGGCCAGACAAAGAGAAAAGATGAATGAGGAGCATAACAAACGTTTATCAGACACTGTGGACAAGCTTCTTTCAGAGTCCAATGAGAGGCTTCAGCTTCACCTGAAGGAGAGAATGGCTGCTCTGGAAGACAAGGTAGTCAGGCGGCTGCACAGCAGGGCCCTGCCGCTGAGCGAGCCCCGCCTCTCCTGACAAGCTGCCTCATCCAGTCACTGAGCTGATTTTGTTGTTGGCTGCATTTGTTGTTGTTCCTGCATTTGTTTTGGGGGCAAATTATTTGTTCTTATTTTCTGTTCTTGATTAGAGAAGTAGATAAGTAGTTTCTTCCAAGGCCTGGCCAGGTAAAGACTAGAGGTGTGGTTCATATGGTAGAGTACCAGCAGACAAATGGCCAGAGATAACACATAAATGAACATACATGTCTGTGTTCCAATAAAATTTTATTTACAAGCTTGGTATACTGGCACTGGCCTGAATTGCTAGGATTCCAAAAGCAGAAGCAGGAGTATTATGAGTTCAAGGCCAACCTGGACTCAAAAAAAAATTTCTTTTTAAATTTAAAGAACTAGATTATGGACTGCATTTGACCAGTAAACCCTAGTGTCCCTTTCCTACACTAGAATCTATCTGACCCAACCCTTGGATGCAGCATTTTAGGCGCATGACATCATAGAAGGTATTGAATCAAGTTAAACCAAATGTTCTGTACCAAGCCCTGCCTTCTTTCTCTTCCACTTGGTTTAAAGAAGGCCGAGCATGCTCGCACCCACAGCATAAGCCTGGCTCCCAGCCCTTCAGACGTAAGGTACACTAGCTACTTGCAGAGTCCTTGCAGAACAGAGGGCTGAGCAGGCAGCAGTTTGATGAGTGTGCCATGTCCCTTGAGGTGACACTCAGAAACGTCCTGAGGTTGGCACACAAGGGAGAGTTGTATCCCGTTCAGAGACTGATGATTACCACTTTCCACGTGTATTTTACATAAAACTAAGCACAAAGGCATGATTACAGACCACACAGGGTAGCTCCTCTCACCTCTTCATCAGTGGATCAAACTCAGGTAGGAATATTTTTATTTTAGACTTTAGTTTTACATGTGAAACAAATTTCATGTTTCTCAAGTCACCAATGAATTGCCAAACCTGAAAGTCAGTGTAAGCCAGTTTACCTGCTCTAAACAAACTTATACCATGGATTGAGCATGCTTATGTCTGGAAATTTGATCCAAAAAGAACCCAGTTGCATATGAGCCAGAGAAATGAGTGCAGCTGTCCCTGCCCCGTGGTCAGGCTCGCTGGGTGCCACTCCTTAGTGCTTCCATCTCTCCTTTCCTTCTGTGCGGTGCCATAGCTTTCCACAAGTGTGGCCATACTGGATTACTTGGAATCAACACTGAAGTACTCTGTATCTTTTCCAGAATTCTTTATTACGAGAAGTTGAAAATGCAAAGAAGCAATTGGAAGAAACACAGCATGATAAGGTACTAATGTCTTCTCTGAGTCACTGAGCTCCATTAGGAGCTGACTGGCAGTTATAGTTACCACATACGCTTAGTGGAAGCTGAGGTCAGCTCAGAGTGCTCTCAGTCTGTCAGCATAAGATGCATAACACGTGTGGATTTAAAAGCAATCGACTGCTTTTGTATTTGAAATGCATGCTCAGAATCCTGAATCCTTTTGGGTTTGAGAGTAAAATAATTAGCATAAACTTTTCATCAGAAACATACTTTCAGGGACTAGGGGCATTACTCACACACAGGGTAGAATGCCTGCTTAGCAAGTATGAGGTCCTGAGTTCAAACCCCAGTACTGCCAAAATAAAACAACAATAAAATAACAACAAAAACAGTGCTATAAGAGCTGTAAATGTAGCTCTGAGGTAGAGAGTTTGCCTAGCATTTGTATGGCCCTGGGTTCTAATCAAACCAAGAAAAAAGCACCATATATACCAAGAAAAAAGCCCTACGGATAAAAAAAAGAACAATACTGTCAAACAGAAATATATTATGGACTATATAGTCTTGGACTTTCTGGTAACCTCATTTGAAGAAGTGTAAATAGGTGAAATTAATTTTATTTAGCCTAGTATATCCAAATGTTATTATTTCATTATATATAGTGTGACATTAATAAGCTACTTTATAATTATTTTCATACTAAGTCTTTGTGTGAACTCTGGAGTCACTACACACGTCATTTGGGTTTGTGTATTCATAGCCAGGAAGCCATGTGTGGCAGTCATGTCTGCACTGGACAGGAGAGTGTTGTATAAGAGATGTGGGACTGTGAGAAACAGTACAGAGCACTATTCTGTTCTCTAAGATTCTGAAACATTTCTGTGACTAATTCACACCTTTTCATTCAACAGGCTGTAGGTGAATTTGGTAGTCAGTTTGTTTATCACATAATTCATGGAGAAAATTTTCTCAGATGGGAAATGGTATTTATAACTGCTAATTTAACCTGCTACAGTTATGTTCAACATTTATGTGTGTTCAATGCAAATTTTTTTTTAAAATAGTTATTATAAAGGTGATAGAAAGGCTATGGTTACAAAAGTCAGGTAAGCTGTATGCCGGTAGCTCATGCCTGTAATCCTAGCTACGTAGGAGGTTGAGATCTGAGGATCGTGGTTCAAAGCCAGCCCCAGCTGGAAAGTCTGTGACACTCATCTTTCCAATAAGCCTCCAGAAAACCGGAAGTGGCGCTGTGGCTCAAGTGGTAGGGCACTCGCCTTGAGCTGAAGAGCTGAGGGACAGTGCCCAGGCCCAGAGTTCAAGCCCCGCTACCAAAAACAAACAAAAACAACCCCAAAAGTTAGGTAAATGAATATATTCCTTTTTGAACAATGTCATCCCTTCCCTCGCTCTCTCCCTGCAAATACTTCTTTAACATGAAAGAGAGAGCTTTTACTATAAATCATCTGCTGTCTTACAGGACCAGCTAGTCCTCAACATTGAAGCACTGAGGGCCGAACTAGACCAGATGAGACTGAGAGGCGCCTCGCTTCACCACGGGTATGTTGTTAACAAACTAGTCCCCGCGTTTCAGCACCTTGTACGCCTTGCCATGTGGCAGTGTGGTTGGAGATAGCACAGGGCCTGATCTTGAGAGTAAAGTGCCCATCTCAAGGCGGGAACTTGTGCTAGGGCAGTGTGTGGCTGGAAACACTCAGAAACATAGAGCAGGTTCAGTGTAGGCATGACCACTCCCACAGAGTGTGATGCGGATGCTGTGGGGGCAGCACAGAGCCCAGGGCTATAGAAAGGCCCCATCTTCCCAAGAGCTGCCCGCTGCACAGCGCTGCTGGTGCTGAAGGAGTGTCTGTACAGCCAGAGCTCAGGGGACTCCATCATAGTCACATCTGCTGGGGTATGACTTGGGATAGGCTGATACAGGCTGAGTCACTTGGCTGTGAATGGATCTGGTCGCACGCCTACATACAACCCTGCATCCTTATTGTTTTTTCTTTACTTTATGATGGAGGTGGTTCTTATTAAAATATTTAAATTTTGTGTCTTTGAAGAAAACTGCCATCAAGTGAAAATTAAACTTTGGCAGAAGTTCCTGAAGTGGTCCTTGGTGACCGCAGGTTACAGGAAACAGGCTTTTGCTCGAAGCGTGTTTAGTGGAGAGGGCAGAGCCAGTGCACACACTTGTGCATTGGGTACTAGGAAAAGTGAGGGCATCTTTATTGAACCTACTTCTAGATAGCTGCAAGAGAAGGCACTGAGGACAGTTTCAGAGAGCCAGAAAGGTTGACTTTCTGCATAACCAGAGAACTTTCCAGGGGCAGTGCTACTGCTTGCTGAGGGCCTGGAGGACAGAGAGCTGGGGTGGAATGCACCCTCAAAGGCTCATGTGGTCAGTGGGGCCCTGGCCACCACAGGTCCTGCTCAGGTGAGGGAGGAGAGGTACAATGTGTGTCTGAACAGTTACTAACAACACAATGTGCGATCCTCCCCACTTTATTTGTGGTATTCAGGTTTGGACTCGAGGCCTCCTGTTTGTTAGGCAGGTGCTCTGCTGCTTGAGCCATGTTCTCAGTCCTTTTTTGGCAGGAGGCTTGTGACACTGGCTTTCAGTCTTCCTTCCTCTGCCTTCTGAGTGCTGTGATTCCACATATCTCCTGACTTTGATGTATGGCTTTCTTGAGCTAACAGCTGTAGTAATAAAGAGGAGAGAGGTTGAAGTGGCAACAAAAGGAAGGGGGAAGCTGGGCAGCAATGGCTCACTCCTGTAATCCTACTTACTCAGAAGGCCAGATCTGAGGATTTTAGCTTGAAGCCAGCCCAGACAGGAAAGTCACAGAGACTTACCTCCAGTGAACCACAAAAAAGGTGGAAGTGGAGCTGTGGTTTAAATGGTAGAGTGCTAGCCTTGAGCAAAAAAAAAAACGAGCTCAGGAACAGCACTCAGACCCTGAGTTCAAGCCCCATGATTGGTTTAAAAAAATAAAAAGGGCAGGGCTAGGAAGGTGGCTCAGTGGTAGAGCGCTTGCCTTGCATGCAATGGGTCCTGGGTTCAATTCCTCAGCACCCCATAAGCAGAAAAAGCCGGAAGTGGCACTGTGGCTCAAGTGGTAGAGCACTAGCCTTGAGCTGAAGAGCTGAGGGACAGTGCCCAGGCCCTGAGTTCAAGCCCCACAACTAACAAAAAAAAGAAGGACAAGTTTTTTTGTGTGTGTTTTTTGTTTTTGGTTGGTCTTGGGGCTTGAACTCTGGGCCTGGGCACTGTCTTTCAGCTCTTCAGCTCAAGACTAGCACTCTACCACTTGAGCCACAGCGCCACTTCCTGTTTTCTGAGTGGTTAATTGGAGATATGAGTCTCACAGACTTTCCTGCCTGGGCTGGCTTTGAACCATGAATCTCAGATCTCAGCCTCCTGAGTAGGTAGGATTACAGCCGTCTGGCCAAGGGCAAGTTTTAAGATAGGCTTGCCTAGCCTGGGGTGTGATAAATGGCATGTGACAAGGGAGAGGAGGTGTTAGCTCTGGGAACCCCAAGGGGACAGTGCCAGGAGGTGGATCTGGAGACTCCATGTCAGACTTAGAAAGACACTGGCCACCCCAGGATGGCATGGGCCCTGGGTAGGAGGAATGAAGAGCCTGGGTCCGAGGCACAGACATCCTGCTGGGTAGTGCGGGCTTCCCTGCAGAGCATCCCCAGCAGCCTCCATTCTTAGGAACTAAGAGCTTAGAGGAAGCAGAAACAAGGCTGCCCCGGGATGGACGTGGTGGTGGGTGCCATGACTGACTCCCGCTGCCTCGCTGTGCCTGGCCCATGGGAATGGAATGGCCACTGCTCCTCAGCTCTGCCATCTTGGTTGGTCCAGCCCTCTCTCTACCCCCTTTTCTGGAGACTTCTTCAGCCTGAGGATTGGTTTCTGTGGCCTCACTATGCACAATTGTGTCTTGGGTTCAGAAACCTAGAAGCCAGCTCCAGCCCCAGCCTCCCCAGACAAGCTGAAAGGACTTGTGGCTGGTGCTTCTCCCATGGGGATCTTGGCGTCCGGGGAAAGCCTGGATGTGGCAGCCAGGCGCCCTGCTGGTCAGCCAGGGAAGCACAGGACCTGAACTTCGCTGAAGGCAGATTTTCAGACCGGGTGGCTGGACTCCCTGCTCCTCCCTGTGTGCCACCGTGCGCTTTTCCTGCCCCATGAGCAGTAAATGGCTGCCGAGCAGTAGCAACGTGTGGCTCTGGAGGCACTCACAGGTGGCCTGCCTTCTTGCCCACCTTTTCCTGCATGAGAGCATGCATTTTCCAGATGGCCAGTTTCCAGCTGAATGAGAAGTCGCCCAGTGAGTGGATTGTTCTAATAACAACCTTTCCTTTGACATTTCAGCAGACCCCACCTGGGCAGTGTCCCGGATTTCCGGTTCCCCGTGGCAGATGGGCACACGGACGCCTTCAGCACCAGTGCCGTGCTACGGCGCCCCCAGAAAGGCCGGCTGGCGGCTCTGCGGGACGAGCCATCCAAGGCAAGGCCTCCGCGCCTCCCCCCGAGCCCTCCCCTGCACCGACCACCCACCCTCACCTCTGCCCCCCCCAGCCCTCCCCTCCACTGTCCACCCTCACCTCTGTCCCGGAGCCCTCCCTTCCACTGTCCACCCTCACCTCTGTCCCGGAGCCCTCCCTTCCACTGTCCACCCTCACCTCTGCCCCCCTAGCCCTCCCCTCCACTGTCCACCCTCACCTCTGTCCCCCCAGCCCTCCCTTCCACTGTCCACCCTCATCTCTGTCCCGGAGCCCTCCCTTCCACTGTCCACCCTCACCTCTGCCCCCCCAGCCCTCCCTTCCACTGTCCACCCTCACCTCTGTCCCCCCAGCCCTCCCTTCCACTGTCCACCCTCACCTCTGCCCCCCCAGCCCTCCCCTGCACTGTCCACCCTCACCTCTGCCCCGGAGCCCTCCCTTCCACTGTCCACCCTCACCTCTGTCCCGGAGCCCTCCCTTCCACTGTCTTCTGCCTCTGTGACTTCTCCCCCGTGCCTGTCTCCTGGCTCTTCTGCTACGAATTACTTGAAGGTCATGCTTGCTTTTTTTGTTGCTGCTATTCTTTTTTTTCTTCCTTTAACACAAATGTTGGTTAAATGAGTACACGTTTTGGCTAAATGAATACATTTCTGCTACTGGAATACATATCTGAGACAGTCTGCTTACGAAGACAAAGGGTTCACTTCAGTCAGGGTTGTGAGTTTGGGTCTGTGTTTGGTCAGCCTGGTGATGGAGTGGAGCTGCTCACCTCGTGGTGGGGAAGCAGCCTTTCCCCTGGTGACCAGTTCTGAAGACTCCCCCAGGTGCCGACCCAGAGCCGGCTGCAGCATCCCCGCACTGGCCTCTTCCACAGCATGGGCTGGGATCCGCCTCAGTGTCCACTCTGTGGCCATGGTCACCTGCAGGGCAGGCGCAGTGTCTGTGTCCCAGAGCACACAGCTTAATGAGGAGGAATGAGCCCTTGGTGAGGCGTAGCCTGGGGCTGGTGATCCAGTGCCACGTACCCAGCTGGTGACCAGGCCGAGTGGGGACCTCAGCGAACTTGACAGTTCGCAGGTGAGTCCAAGAGTCACCCGAAGGATGCCTCAGGCGCAGGCACTCCTGTGCCTACAGCTGTGGGAAGGCAGCAGGCGTACTCACGTAGCTGGGTGCCTGAGGGTCCTTCCCTCAGAGCACATGTTTGGAGACGGCCAGGAGAAGGCGCTTGCCGCCTTCTCATCCTGGAAGTCACACACTTCTAAAGCTGCAGAGTTTGTGGACATATTTCTCGTCCATCCCATTCTGTCAGATGGTAATAAGCAGGAAACGAGGGAGGGTGCCACGTGCTTGAGTTGCAGAGTGATGAGGAGAATCTTAACCAGAGTAGCCAAGAGCCATCACCATGAGGGTGACGTGAGAGCAGAGCGCTGCAGGAAGAGGGCAGGGATGGATCTGATGCTGGACTGTGAGGCGCAGCAGGGCCTGCTGAGGGGTCAGGCGTGCAGGGTGACGCAGGGCAAACGATGGAGGGTATGGTTTCTGCATCTACAAGGATGGGGTCTGCTTCCTGAGGTGGGTGGGGAAGGTGGGCCTGAGCCTTGGCTGTGTTCAGGTTGACAGGCCTATCGAGGGAGGGGAGGAGTCAGCTGCAGAAAATGCAGTCACCCAAAACTGGGGATAAAACACTAGATGTGGCTGGAGGGGGAGCGGCTGTGAGCGTTGTCTGCAGGTGGCATTTAAAGATGTGAGACAAGGTGTGGTCATTCACGGACGCAGCTGGCAGGGCCACAGTCCATTGAGCCACCAGACTTACAGCCAGAGGGACATGGAACAGAGCGGTGACTGTCAGGTAGGAGGAAGCTAGGAGAGATGAGGTCTTACAGCACTGCCCTGCTGCAGTTCTGCTGGTGAGTGCGACGCGCAGAGCAGAGGGAACAAGCAGCTACAGAGGTTTCACACGGCAGAGCGGGGTGGGGGGGGACAGGAGGCAGAAGACTGGAGTGGAGGTGAAGGTTTTGTGGATTGTTTGTTTTGAGGTAGGAGGCAAGAGGAACTGTTCTTAGCTTGATAGGACAGGGCGCTCCCTAGGAGGGAAGAGGCCCTAGGGATCAGGGCAGGTTCTCACCCCCACAGAACAGGGGTGAGATCAGAAAGGGGAGTGTGAAGTTATCACACACGGCTGTCCTGTGTGTGTTCTGATTACAAATTCAAGTCTTACACGCGAGTGCTGCTCTAAAAAAATCCACCTCTGCCAGCTGCCTGCTACCTGGATGGCAAGTGACTGGGCTCAGGAAAGGGAGACCTGGAGCTCAGGATCACCTTGGCACTACTGACATGGGGTGTGGTAGTGGCTGTGTAGCTAAGTGAGTCCAGCTGGTATGGAGTTTGATCATTTTTCCCCACTTCGTGCTTTTCCCATACTGGAGCCTGAACCCAGGGCCTCACACCCTCTCTTGGCTTTTTTGTTCAAGGCTGGAACTCTGTCACTGGAGATATGCTTCCACTTCTGGCTTTCTGCTGGTTAGTTGAAGATATGAGTCTTTTGGATTTGTTTGCTGGGGCTGGCCTTGAACTGTGATCCTCAGGTCTCAGCTCCTACCTGTAGCTAGGATCAGAGATGTGATTCACTGGCACTCAACAAGTTGGGTCATTTTTTACTTCCCATTAAAGAGCACCGGTTGGAGCCAAGATGGATATCTGGTTTTTAATGTTCAGCTTTTGTTTGATTGCTATCTCCCAGTCACGAGTCACATGTCAGGCACACACAAGGTGGTCCGAACACTGTATTAGCCTCCTCTCCCAGTTCTTTGTCTTTTTCTTCTTCCTTTTATTTTTATTTTTTATGTTTTGGTGGATTTGGGGGCTTGAGTTTGGGCCTGGGCACTGTCTCTAAGTTCTTTTTGCTCAAGGCTAGTGCTCTTGTCACTTTGAACCATAGCTCCACTGGTTTTCTAGTGGTTAATGGAATATAGGGTCTCACAGGCTTCTTGCCCAGGTTGGCTTTGAACCTTGATCCTCAGATCTCAGCCTCCTGAGTAACTAGGATTAGAGGCGTGAGCCACCAGTGCTTGGCTCCTTTAAATGTTTTGTTGAGTCAAAATCTCACTACTTAGTCCAGACTGGACTTGATTTAGAAGTCCTCCTATCATAGCCTACTGAGTGATTGGATGACTATGCCCTGTCTCATTTATTTATTTGTTTGTTTATTTGTTTATTAGGTTATGGCACTTGAACTCAGGGTCTGGGTGCTGCTCCTGAGCTCTTTTGCTCAAGGCTAGTGCTCTGTCACGTTGAGCCACAGCCCTACTTCTGGTGTTCTGGTGGTTCATTGGAAATAAAAGTCTCACGGACTTTCCTGCCTGGGCTGGCTTCAGAACATGATCCTCAGATCTCAGCCATCTGAGTAGCTAGGATTACAAATGTGAGCCGCCAGCTCCCAGCTTCTCCTGTCTTAAATACCATCTGGTTAGCATGTATCAGCAGCTTGAGGAGGTGACCCATCCATCTTTCCATACTCTCTGGGCCTCTATTTAAAACATTGACCTTTTTGATGACCGAATAAGGCCTGTTGCTGAATGTGCTGAGATGTGTTTTCCCATCAACAGGTGCAAACTCTCAATGAGCAGGATTGGGAACGAGCCCAGCAGGCCAGCGTCTTGGCAAATGTGGCCCAGGCGTTCGAGAGTGATGTGGATGTGTCTGACGGTGAAGATGACAGGGACCCTCTGCTGAGCTCAGTGGACTTGCTGTCGCCCAGTGGGCAGGCTGATGCACAGACCCTGGCCATGATGCTTCAGGAGCAGCTGGATGCCATCAATAAGGAGATCAGGTATGCTGGGGGCCCATTCCCAGTGGCGCCTGCAGCACGTAGGGCCAGCACGCTCCCAGTGCCCCAGTGGTCCATCATGACGAGCTGAGAGCCAGTGTGAAGAACTTTAGATTCCAGCTCAGATAACCCAAGCAACCTCCCCATGGTCACAGGACTCAGGCTTCGGTATAGGATGCTGGGGAGGAAGGTATTCAGTGCCCTTCCAGTGGTGGAAGACAAATGGAGAGACCCAGCTGGAGGGTCCAGGGCCATCCAGAGAGTTGTGCCTTGCAGGACAGTGGTGCACAGGGAAGATGTGTGTGTACCCTATGAGCCATCAGCCAGTGCTGGATGACAGAGGGACAAGGAGACATGCCAGCAGAGGATGGAGAGTGTGGCGGGAAGTAGATTGCTACTTCCCAGCCTGCCCAAGCAGAGTGCCCCTTGACTCCGAGCCTCGCAGTCCCCATGCATCCCCTAGCATGGTCAGCACGCAGCCTTATGCCCACAAGCCCGCCATCCAGTTCCTGTTGCACACCCTCACGCTGGGCACAGGGTTTCCTACTTCTTCCTCAGAAGGAAAATGAGGGCCAACAACTGTCATCTGACTTTTCTCAGTGTCATCGATGTCTTAAAGGGCTTTTTCTTCAGTAACTCTGGTAGCTGTTATAATAGGATGTGGCCCAACAGCGGCCGCCTGTGGAATCGGAGCCACGCATTGCCCATGCAGTGGGTGAGAGGCCTTAGGACCCTGCTGTGGTCAGGAGGGTGGCATTGGGGCACAGTGCCCTAAGAGCTGCATGGGCTGAGACCAGGTAGAACCCCAACCAGGCCTGGGCCCTTGCAAACAGCAGCCAGCAGGACCTTGCTGAGAGCTAAGGGCATTGCCACTTGGTTCTACAAAATGGAAAGGGGGAAGTGCCCTTTCCAGGCAGAGGAGAGGTCAGCATGGCCAACTTCCCAAGCACGCGGGCTTCAGAGCAAAGTGAGCTGCTGCCTGGGTTTCTGAATCTGCAGCTGAATCTGCAGGTGGTGGGTACGGAAAGAGAGCCTTTCCCACTGCTGCGGGAAATGGAGAAATTTACTTCCATTTAGCGTTTGCTTTTGACAGTGTGTTGCTTGATAAAAATATTCTTTATTCATCAAGTTGATCAGATACAGATAGTAAGATACATCCCTGGCTTCTAAACTGCTTTCTGTTAGTAATAATAAATAATTTTTCTTAGAATATTGAAGTAGAACTTTAGCTGAAGGGTCACAATAAGGCTTCTGTGCTCTTTGGAACAGTTGTTATTGGTATAGTCAGGTATTACAGCTGTGTTGGGTCATCTATAGTGCTGTGTGGCAGAAGAGTTAGTCTTGAAGTCCAGACTGGTCCACCCCTGCAGCTTATACCGAAATCTAAGCAGTGTGCAGTGAAGCACTGGGAACTCCCACGGGGATTGGTTCTTTTTTTGGGGAGGGGGGGGGAGAAGGGGGCTGGTCATGGGGCCTGACCTCTGGGCCTGGGCGCTGCCCCTCAGCTCTTCAGCTCAAGGTTAGCACTCTACCACTGAATCACAGCACCACTTCCGGCTTTTTCTGCTCATGTGGTGCTGAGGAATCCAACCCAGAGCCTCATGCATGCAAGGCAAGCCACCTTCCCAGCCCTAGGTCAGTTCTTTGTGTCAGGGTTCCTGAGTTTCAGTGAAATCTGTAGCTAAATGTACAGCTTTGTTTTAAGAGTAGGGAGGTAAGAATCATAAAGTTTATTTTAAATTTTATTTTTTGTTGGTCTTGGGGCTTGAACTCTGGGCATGGGCTCTGTCCCTGAGCTCTTCAGCTCAAGGCTAGTGCTCTGTCACTTTGAGCCACAGCACCACTTCTGGTTTTCTAAAATAAGAGTCTCATGGGCTTTCCTGTCTGGGCCGGCTTTGAATCGTGATCCTTAGATCTCAGCCTCCTGAGTAGCTAGGATTACTTACAGGTGTGAGCCACTGGCACCTGGCTAAGAGTCATAAAGTTTACCCCATTGCTTTAGCAAGGAGATTAATAGCTACAACCATAGAAGTAGGTGCCAACCAGCCTCCTCTATGTGAAAGCAAATACAAATGATAGAACCATCTTAGCAAGACTTAGTGGGAAGTTTACTGTTGATTGTTCATGAGGGAGTAGAAGAGTTTTGCTGAAGTGTTCGATGTAGTTTGCTCACAGATACAGAACAAAGATCCTCATTGTGTACACCCTTACATTTGTTTGCTTCTGGAGAGATGGTGACTGTTGTTGCTTTGATTTTAGGTTGATCCAAGAAGAGAAGGAGAGCACAGAGCAAAGGGCAGAGGAGATTGAGAGTCGAGTCGGCAGTGGGAGTTTAGACAACCTTGGTCGTTTTAGGTCGATGAGCTCCATTCCCCCCTACCCTGCTTCCTCACTTGCCAGCTCCTCCCCTCCAGGAAGCGGCCGCTCCACCCCAAGAAGGGTGCCTCATAGCCCCGCTCGGGAGGTGGACAGACTGGGCGTCATGACTCTGGTAAGCACCCTGTGTGAAGTCACACTCAGAACCCACATCTCTTTACCCAGATGAAAGTCAAGTTGATGTGTTATTTTAAGGGCACATTTTTTTCACTAGCTAGTATTTAATCATTCAACTATGCCAAGTAAATTTTGATGTAACCAAGTTATCAGAGCAACGTTTAGTTATGTAATACTAGACAGGGGTTTGTGCAAGGCACAGCAGCCAGATGGGAAAATAGTTCACGTTTTGTAGGAATAGACAATTAACAAAAGAAAACGCAGACAGATGTCTCAGTATACGGAGTGGTGTGCATCTGGTTACTATAGAGACCTTCAGGGGGCTCCAGGAATGAGGTCAGGAAACAAGGCTGAGGAGGTTCTGCAGCCACCTCAGGCCTCCTTAGAGGCTGGGGGCTTCACTCCTCGCTGGGGCCACTTCCATCCTGGATATACGCTGTTCTGCCTGTGAGATGACTCTCCAGCCACACCCGAATCACCTCCTCGGCCCTTTCCATGTGCACTGCAGTCTCATTGTTGCTCATGTCACTAAATCGTTTAGCGGCATAGTAAGTGGTCAGCAGTCTATTTGGTGCTGTTTTGACACAGAGTTTTTATAATGTACATCACTTGCTAGTCAGGAAATGTTTTATACTCTGACGGGTTCTTTTGGATCCTCATCCTTATTTCCTTCCTGCCACTTTAGCAGTAACTATGCATTTTCCTAGCTTCATAGGCAGTATGCTAGCTGGCAGGATCTGCTTCTGTCGTCATCCTTGTGTGTGTCACTTTGGATCCAGCCCCCAGGTCTCCATCATTCGATATGTGTCCATCCAGTGGCCCATGCTCTGACCCTCTTCATGACCTGCCTGGGGACCTGGCCACCAGGGCAGATCTGTGCTGCACTAGCCTATGCAGTAGCTGGTCGAGATTTTTCATAAAAAGTCCTTTGCATTATAAAGGACACAGTCATGGGATAGTTGGTTGAGTGTTTCTACACCCACAATCTGTGTGACTCGGCAGTGAGACATTGCTATATAAACAGATGAGCCGGTGAGTGTGGAATCAGCAGATACTCTGTGCATAAAGTGTGCATTCAGCTTTTAAAGGTGGTTGTAATCGAGACGTCAATATCATCAACTTATTGAGGGTATCTGTTATAGACGATTTTTAATGAAATGTCTTACATGCATCATAAGATGTAAGATTTTACCTGATACTATGCTAGCTTTTGTTCTTATATATTTTCACAGGATACCTTGCTTTACGCAATAAATTTATTTTTAAGAAGTTGTAAATCAAATTCTAGGTAAGGATTTTGCATTAATGTCCAATAGATTATTAACTAAAAGTAAGTTTGTTTTGCTTTAATAATAGGTGTTACAATAAGTTAGGACCAGTTAGAATATTCACAATTCTGTTTTGTATTAAAGCTAAGTTACACAGAGAGTTGACTTGGAGAAGATAATCATTAGGGCCCTTTGTTGTAGAAGCCATGTTTCAGTAAGTTACAATGTGTTCAAATAGAATTTTATCTCTGAACACTAATGTACAGTGGTTCTCTGGTGGATAATTTTTATTAAGTTTACATTGAAAATGTGTTCTGTTTATTCTGCTTACAGAAATATTTTTCTAAATTCCTTGTCACTTATATCTGCCCTGTCATTTCCATTTAATATATATTTGTCTGTATTAATGCTTGAAATTTAACTTCAAAGTGTGTGGTAAATCTGATTTCTCTTCATTTCTTTGCATGCATCTATCAGCCTAGTGATTTAAGGAAACATCGTAGAAAGGTAAATTACTTAGTAACTTCACATGTCTTCCTGTCTCCGTAATGGTTGAGGCATATGGTATTTCACAAGTGTAGCGCTGTGCTGGGGTGTGATGCTGAATGACTGACGTGTCACGGCACATCCCATGAGGGCTGTGTTGGAATTGGTGGCCGGGAACATGGGAGCCAGTGCTGCTTGCTCACTGGTCCTGCAGCTAAGCGTCACATGCTTGTTTATGGTAGACATGGTATTCAGAGTTAAAAAAAAAATTGAATGAAATCCTAGCTACTTAAAAGGCTGAGATACAGAGGATTACAGTGTGAAGTCAGCCTGGATTTACGAGAACTCATCTCAGCAGATAAAAGCTTGTGTGATTGCATGTGCCTGTCCTCCTAGCTAGGCGGGAAGTATAGATAAGATCAGTAAGTTCTTGCTCTGCTCTAAGCACCAGGCTTTGTGCTTGGCTAGTCTGTTGTAGTGTTTCACCTTGGGAACACCCTCTGGACAGCTGACTTGTAGTTGGTTCTGACTTGTGCTTTTATAGCCCAACCTGCTCAGGCACAAGATCACCTTGTGTTCTTGTCACTGGTACTTTCAGTGTGCAGCCTAAAAAAACTTGGAGCAGCCTATCCTGGAGGCTCTGTGGCTTGATCTAGTACTGTGTCCACAGAGATGGCACGGGGCCAGATACTGCCTGCGTCTGACCTTCTCCTTCGGACTGCTGGCTAGACTTAGGGGCTTCCCTGCCCTCACGCCTCTTATAGGAGAGTCTGAGACATGTAGGGCAGGTCTGTGTCCCACCTTGGTGCTAGCACAGAGGGCAGTGCAAGCCGGACCAGCCCAGAAGTCTCCTTCAGGTTGCCCAGTGAGGAGGCCCTGCTGCCATGGTGTCCAGCTAGGACCTCTTAGCTTACCTCCTGCCACATGAATTGCCAGTTCCTCAACTCCGCCTTGGCTTTTCTACTCATGATTGGCACTCTACCACTTAAGCCATGCCTCTCTCTAGTCCAGCTTTTTTGCTGGTTAATTGGAGATAGAGTCTCTCTCAGATTTTTCTGCCCCAGCTGGTACCTGGCCAGTTCCTTGATTTTTTTTTTTTTTTTTGGTTGTGGGGCTTGAACTCTGGGCCTGGGCGCTGTCCCTCAGCTCTTCAGCTCAAAGCTAGTACTCTGCCACTTGAGCCACAGCACCACTTCTGGTTTTCTGGTGGTTCATTAGAGATAAGAGTCTCACGGACTTTCCTTCCCTGGGCTGGCTTTGGACTGTGATCCTCGGATCTTAGCTTCCTGAGTAGCTAGGATTTCAGGTGTGAGCCACCTGCGCCCAGCTAACATGATTGTTTTGGCCTGAATTTTTTTTCCCCCTGGTCCTGAAGCTTAAATTCTGGACCTGGACACTGTGTCTTTAAGCTGTTGTACTCAAGGCTAGTGCTTTACCACTTGAGCCACAGCTCCACTTCAGCTCTTTGGATTTTTTTTTTGGAGATAAAGAGTCTCACAGACTTTCCTGTCTGGGCTGGCTTCAAACCACAGTCCTCATATCTCAACCTCTGGAGTTGCTAGGATTATAGGTGTGAGCTACCAGCTTCAACCTGGATACTTAAATTGTTAAGTTTCAGATGGATAATCTCTGGCTGTGTTAGGCCTTTAGGGGGCAGTGCTAGACTAGAACCTGGGGCCAGCAGCCTCCTAATCAGGTACTCTAGCACTAAGCCTGGCCTGAGCCTTGACATCCCTTTCTGCTGTGGCCACAGTAGAAGTTAGGGACACTGCAGAGGTATCTGCTGGTGGCTAGGGTATATCCCCAGCAGACTCGGCTCCACTAAGCCAAATCCATTGAGTCTCATTCAGCTGCAGTGGGACCTATGTACTTCACACAGTCCCATTTAAAAAGTTAATAGAAATCTGGAAAATCATAGTTCAAGGCCATCCCAAACAAAAGGTTAGCAATACTCGGTCTTGGTCGATACGCCAGGCTTATTGGTGTGCCTCAGTGATCCCAGCTATGCAGGAGGATCCCACTCAGGGACAAGAACATGAGACCCTATCTGAAAAACAATCTGTAACAAAAAAGGGCAGGGGCCATGGCTCAAGTACAAGACCTGAGTTCAAGCCCCAGTACTGCTCCCTCCAGGAAGAGGTAGCTGCTCAGGTCCTAGTGTTTGTGTATTGCCTGCCTCAGGTATCTCATGAACTCAGTCCTACTTCAAACCAGGAGCATGGGCCTCTCTGTGCAGCCTGCCTGGGTCTGCCTTCAGACTGATCTGTCCACTACCCTGTGTTCCCAGGGACACACCTATGCTCATGACTCATGGCAAAAAAACCCCAACAGGTCTATCAGGTCCTCCTTTAAAGACAAACCCAGCATTGTTTTTCTAAACACATGGAGCCCAAAGGTTTAAGCTGTGGACCAACGATTCCAGTCCAGACACACATTGGATATGTGTTTGGCTCATGGTCCAAGCCATTCCTGTATTTCCCCATAGACAAAAATGTACTGCCCATTTCTCAAAGTGACTTCTCCCCTTCCCAGCGCTCCTAAGTGACATGCCTGCCATGGCCCCTCATCATGGGGTAAGCTTTTTCTTTTATTGCTGAGGGTGATGTTGGCAGCAATACTTATCGTCCTTACTGCCCTCTGATGACTGTCGCTGAATGTGCCTAGAAGAGCAGAGCTGAGCTGAGGAGGCAACAGGTGTCCCCAAGTCTGCGGCTCCTCATCCTCATGCATGGAGGCGGACTGTGGCCTTCTGTGCCACAGCCTCCTTCCTCCTTCCAGTGGGAAAATGTAGCCTGAGGTTCTCAAGGAAGTTTATGAGTATAATTAAAAAAGACAGTGTGGTTTTTATTAGCCGTCTACTGTTAAGTAATTTTGCTTTTGTCTTACCCTTCAGTTGCCAGCTTCCAGAGAAGAGGTACGAGATGACAAGACAACCATAAAATGTGAAACTTCTCCCCCCTCCTCCCCGAGGTCCCTGCGCTTAGACAGGCTGCACAAAGGCGCACTCCATACGGTCAGCCACGAAGACATCAGGGACCTGCGAAAGTAAGGAGTGGAGTATATGGACCCCCCATGCTGTGCAGAAACCATCTTGTATTGGGCTTAAGAATAGTGATTAACAAAAGAAAAAATAGTCAAGCCCCATGCCAGTGGCTCCTATAGTCCTAGCTACTCAGGAGTTTGAGATTGGAGGATCATGGTTTGAAGTCAGCCTGGCAGGAAAGGCTGTGAGACTCTTACTTCCAATTAACCACCAAAAAGCCAGAGGTAGATCTTGATTCAAGTGGTAGAGCAAAAGCTCAGGGACTGTACTTGGGCCCTAAGGCAAGCCTCAGGGCTGGAACCCCTCCCCCCAAAACCTGTAGCTTAAGTTGTATCACCCCTGCTTAGTAAGCACAAGGCCTTAGTTATTACCTTTTTACTGCTGAGTTGTAATTACTGAGCGTTAGCCCTGGGATGGCTGCCACTGCTGGCCTGACATGACATCCAGCAGTAGATGCTTTCCAAAGTTTGGAAAGAGGTGTTATGTGAAGTCAGTTCTTGTTGCTTCAGATTCCCAACTGTGAACTCGAGACCTTTCTGTTGGTGATGTTGAATTTGTCCCACAAATGGCAGCTTTTGATCACGTCCCTCTGTGATAGCCAGTTCCTCTCAGATCCTTCTGCGCCCTGCTTATGTGCTCTTGAGACCTCTCTATTCAAACGGCTTCCCACCCTGTCCCATCATTGCTGGGTGAGACCGTGCTAAGGGGAGGACACACCGGTGCCATGATCACACAGCTGCTGAAAGGGGCAGGAGCTCTGCCCTCTCTCTCCCAGGCTGTGCTCTTTCTGCCAGCCCTCATCTCTGGGCCTGGGAGCAGCTCGCATGGGATGAGAGAGGCTCCTGAGAAGGGCCATCGCTGGGGATCCTGGGCCAGCTGCTTGGGTCGGGCCTGCTCCAAAAGGGAGTACCACCTGGGAAGAAATCTAGGCTTCAGAAAACAGTGTTCTTTGAGCTGCGCTGGTGGCTGTGTTATAGAGCATCACACACACGCCGTGTAAGACTTAAAAGGTTTTTTAGGAGGTTTAACAGAGACAAATATTCAAAATGCAAAGTAAGCTGGGTGTGGTGGTTTTTGCCTGTAATCCCAGTTAGGGAGGTTGAAACTGGATAATCTCAAACTTCAGGGCGGCCTGATCTACATAATGATACCTTTTCTCCAAAAAGGAATACTAGAAAGAGAACAATAGATGAGGTTAATCTGACTAAATTATATATGTGCCTATGAATTACCATTGTAAAACATCTTTGTACAATTAATATACACCAAAAAATAACAGCAACAGAGGATGAGAAGAAAGTAAGACAGGCAATGTTGAGGGTAGCTACTGGCTCAAGAGGGTAGTTTGGAAAAGGCAGGTGAGAGCGAATAGGGTGGAAGTACTTCAGGTGTGTGAATGAAGATAGAACAGTGAAGCCTGCCAAAATTGTTCCACAAAGGTGGGAGGAGGGTGAAGGGGAATGATACAGGGGTGTGTTTGGTTGGGGTACATTGTATGTATGTGGGGAAATGTCACCATGAATCCCCCCATACTAATATGCTTTAGAAATAAGTAAATATAGTAAATACAAAGTCGAGCAATCGGCTGAGCATGGCAGCACACACCTGTATTCCTTTGGCTCGGGTGGATACATACCGAGACCTGGTCTGGAAAAAACCAGGAAAATGTCAACAACGTCATAGCCCCTGTGAGTATGGAGTGTTGTTAGAAGGGTGTGTCACGAAGTCCTGATTTCTCTCCTGAAAGCTCGACAGGCTCCCAGGATGGCCCCGTGAGCAATCCCAGCAGCAGCAACAGCAGCCAGGACTCACTCCATAAAGCCCCGAAGAAGAAGGGCATCAAGTCTTCTATTGGCCGCTTGTTTGGCAAGAAGGAAAAGGGCCGGCCTGGACAAATGGGCAAAGACTCACCAGGACAAGGTTGGTCGGTTTGCAGTAAGCATAGGTGGGCTCTCATTTTGTGTCTGTGTGCATGGCCAGCACCCAGATGCATTGTCCCATGAGTCAGTGCTGATGTGTACCAGTGAATCGATTGCTGGTTTTGTTCACTTGTTATGAACCATCAGCAATTCAGATAGGAGTTGCCGTTCTATATGCTCGGTTGCAAACAGCCATCATGGGTTACTTACTGTATGTGTGTGGCAGAGAGCTGCCTTCTGCCTGCTGGGAATGCCACCTCAGTTTCTCTTTCCTCACAGCTGCTCTCTCTGAGACAGAAAACTCATCTCAAGATGCCTTAGGGCTCAGCAAATTGGGAGGCCAGGCTGAGAAAAACCGTAAACTTCAGAAAAAGTAAGTTTTATAACCTCTATCTCATTGAGCAGTTTTCAAGGCCAACGGGGTTGAGATATTTGCTGCTTATACATTAAATGTTTGTTAAGCACAACACATAACTGTATATGCAGTATCTTTTGAAAGAATAACTATTTTTGCCTTTGAACTTTACACTTTCCGGAAGATTCGCTTTAAAAGTCCTCACAGAGGTTCCCAGTTGGCCACAGGAGTGGGAAATTGCTGGCCTCAGCCATCCACACCCCGTCACTGCCCAGGCCAGTTCCGCTCTCCAGGCACCTGCCCTATGCTCAGTTTTCTCACCTATAAAATGGGAGCCCTTGTAGTTCATACCGCATATGGCCTTTACGAGTATTAAATAGGCTTGCTCCCTGTCCTGTCCCTCCCTCTCTCCCTCTCTCCTCTCCTTCTTTCCTCTCCTTCTCTCCCTCTCTCCTTCTCTCCTTCTCTCCCTCTCTCTCTCTCTCTCTCACACACACACATGCACCTGCATGCGCACACACACACATGTCTGTCTGAGGGAGCTCTATATGCAAACAAGGGGCTGTTGTAACTGCAGGCCCTTAAGTGGGTGTCAGTATACATGTGTGTGTGACCTGTCTTCATGCATTCACTGTTTGCATTGTCTCCTAGTTTCTGTTCTTTTATCTCACATAGACTCTACATTTCGTAGTCTATATTAAATTAAGTCCCCCCCCC